GATATGTCGTATGTTTGCTCTACAGCCTTATATTTAGCCTTTCCTCCAAATTTCACCATTATTATGTGTCAACACAATGCATTTCTTTCAAGTTAGTTTCTGATCTCCATTTACTAGCTGTTGTCTCATTAATACAAGGGGGCAAGATATAACAAAATACTACACAGTGTCACCAAAGGAAAAGTCTTTGCATCAGCCATATCAGCGGTGTGAATTAGTCTTGGTGAGGTCCCATATATGGATGCAGGAATCACCTGACATGACTTAAGTTTGGGGGAGATCTCAGGACTCTGGGAATGTTTATTTTAATCCTAAATTATTTTATGTAAGCAATGGTCTTAGTAGCACACAAAATAAGACATTATTTTATTTTGGCATTATCAGAAGCAATAGTTAACATGATTAGTGACCAATATCACACAAGAATTGACCAGTCCAAATGGGCATTGATCCTAGTGTTAGCTACCACTTCTTTATTTGCTGGAGTAATAAAGATCTAGAATGTCCTAGGAGTGTGTGTGTGTGTGTGTGTGTGTGTGTGTGTGTGTGTGTGTGTGTGTGTGTGTGTGTCTGTGTGTATGGTCAGGAGGATAAGATGATGAGTGTTGCCAAGGAAAGCGAGGTAGACATATAAAGAACTCAGATTTCTACTATTTACCATTATGAGAACATTTCAGTTTTTTTATCCAAAATGGCCCTGTTGCAGAGGTTTGTCTATATTGAGGGATGAAGTTAATATTATAACTTGGTTCTTCCTGGTAAACATTTTATTAAAAAATTCCTTAGTTGTTAATTAGAGTTACTTGTATTTTTCCTGGTGATAAATTTCATAAACAAATCGTTATTCCTACTTACTAGTAGTCAAGAAGTAATATCCTTGAAAACAATCAGAATGACCTTCAATGTGTCAAAGAACAGTCAGTTATGATACCAGGAGTTCTGGCTTCATCAACAGCCTCCCATGACCTGATAGAAGTAAACACTGTGTAACAGACGACAGAACACCAGGAACTTCCTTTGATATTTATTAGTTTTCCTGGATTCCAAACTAGGTGGCACCAAAGTTTCCAAGTTAGTGTATTTTGTATATATTTAAGGTATTTATCAGAAGAAATAGATTATTTCACCTTTTAGATAAATTTCAAAATTTTTGCTTATTGCTGGCCTCATGAGTATCCTGTAAGATGTCGATCCTCAGAGTATGTCTTATGAGAAAACCAAGTATCTGCTTATCATTTTGTGGTTTACCAGTAAGCATTTCTTAAAAAATTCTGACTTGCATCATTAGTAACAATAACAGCCCTTTGCTTTCCCTCTGGAATGATGAAGCTTAATCATTGGCTTCTGGAACATGCTACCTAGCTTGTAAATTTGTGGAGGAAGCTCTTTTTGTTGACAGATCTAATGTCTACCATCTGTTTGCCCAGGATGAAGCCCCAGTGCTCTTCTAATTGGACATCAATTACTCGTCAGGAGCTAGATTTTGAAAGCGAAGCTTCAGCCACAGCTTCTTCATCTTCTTCTCTCTTTTTTTTTTTACCTTTACAACTGTGTATTAAACATTGGTGGGAATCCTAACTTCTCTCCTAAGAGTATGCCTATGTACTTCTTGAGTTCTTAGACTCACTCTGTCATTCTGTGTATGCTTAACGTTAGAGCTATCCCTTGGTATCTTCTTAGTTATTAAATCAGGAGCTTCCCCGTGCTATCTTTTAAGAAGAAGGGCACTTTTTTTTCTGAAAGATACATTTATTAGGGATTCCTCAAAAGTAAAGACGAGGGATGGGAAAGTGGCTCAGTGGTAGAGCTCTTGCCTTGCATGCCTGAGGCCCTGGTTCGATTCCTCAGCACCACATAAGCAAAAAGAAAAAAAAAGCCGGAGGCGGCACTGTGGCTCAAGTGATAGAGTGCTAACCTTGAGCTGAAGAGCTGAGAGACAGCGCCTAGGCCCAGAGTTCAGGCCCCACGACCGGACCCCTCACCCACCCCAAAAAAAGTAAAGACGATACAGTAGTAGGCAACCTTAATAATGTAAATCTTTGATGTATTGGAATTATGGGGAATTTATAGACCACCTGTATATGACAGTAAGGGCACATGAATGCTTACTACATATCTCATGATGGACATGCACTGTCATCTATGCTAAAGTGAATGGTTTTCCAACAAGTTGTATAATTTAGGTAACATTATCCCATTTTACAGGAAGGGAAATTGATACTTAGAATTAAAGCACTCTCATATGCCCTTAAAATTGTATAATCAAGGTTCATCTCTTTAGCCTTGTGTAACAACCTATTTCACTTTCCACTGTACACGGTGTTTGCTGGGGTTTGAAAAAAGAGAAAATTAGGATGAGGGTAAAAATATATATGCAATGCTAACTGGGCCTCTTTATCACTGACAGCCTCATTGCCCATAACCTTGCTTTGCAGTTGTACACCAATACTTTTTATTGCTAACTGTAACTTAAAATCTGATTTTTCTAAGCAGCCAGTTTGTCATACAGTGTGATATGACCTTGTTCTGATGACCCAGTTTTCTAAAAAAATCTTGGTTGTGAATTGTTTTAATTTTTTTATTGTGAAAATGCTATACAGAGGGGTTACAATCACATGAGCAAACTAATGAGTACATTTCTTATCAAGCATTGTTGCTTCCTCCTTTGTTTTTCCCTTACCATCCCCACCCCCCACCCCCCGACCTAATTGCAAAGTTCGTTTTTCAACATAGTATCTGGTTGTGAATTTTTATTTCACATGTTTCCCATTTGTTTTACTTAGACATGTAAGCCTCTTTTCTCTTGTACTGTTCTCTTGGTTTCTGAATTCCAATGTTTTCACTGTTTAATAAAGTCTCAAATATTTCATGGTTCTTTTCTTTGCTTTTTTGTCTCCTAAGTGAATTTTACCAAATTCTAATCTTTTTCCATTTGTTTCTTCTATTATCCCAAGGGATTTAAACCTATCATATGGCTTTGCCTACCAACATTTCATAGGCAATTTCTAAGATATATATGATTTTGGTTGTAGTAGGGGGTTTTGAATTCACAACCTCGTGCTTGTATTTCGGTATAGACTGCTTCTTTTTTTGTATTTTTTAAGGTTGAGTCTTACTTTTTACCTGAGTCTAGCCTGGGGCTGATCCTCCTACTTCTGCCTCCTGTGTAGCTAGAATTTTAGGAATGTATTACCATATCCAGTCCATTTTAAGCCAACTCCAAGCAAGAGTTCCTGGCCCACATTTCCTATCTTCTGCTTCATTATATTACTGGAATATCATTGGTCCTCTCAAAGGGATTATCCTATATTCTTGATCATTTTCCCCATCTCAGCCATATCTCTAATTTTTCCCTGCCCTTTACATTCAGTTAGATGTTAAACCTTCCCATTTTACCTGTCCATTATTATACATTTGTCCTATTCATGGTTTCATGCTTACCTACTGGATGTATACATCTAATCAGAAATTCTGTCAACCATCATATACGGCATTCTCAGATGAATCTACCGGACATGTTGCTATAGTGACATTATTTTCCTGTATAAAATTATTGAAGCTACCGTTGGTATGCATATTTGTTACTATACCTCTTTTTACTACCTTTATACAATGTCATTCTAATGGCTCTTAGTTTCCTATGAATACTGTGTATACTAATAGCAATATGCATATTGACTTTCTTAAACCTTAAATTCATGCAATATCTTATTTTTAAAGAAAACTTCCCAATTGTTTTCAGAAATAGCACCTTCATTTTTCTGGGTTCCTTTGAAATTATATTCTGGACTCTTATGATTTCTGCCTCGTGGCCCTTTGTGTGCTTGTCACATCTCTGGTCAAAGCAGCTCACCCCCAAACATGCAGAGAGACTTCTGCTTTGATTCTGGGCCAAATGTTATGCTATGGTGGAGATTCACTTCAATATAAACTAAATAGAAGAAGATATGAATGGACAATTGTTGCTTCTGATAATCAGACAAGGAATAACTATTTCAGACTTGCTCATGGATGTTGCTGTCATGTTGCAGCAGTGTCATTGTCCAGGTTCTGAGGGGCCTCAGATGTAAGATTTGTAAATTAAATGAGAACTCTTTCATCCTTTGCTTGTTCTGTCTATTCCTCAGTTTTATGCACACTGATGTTCACCATGTATTAGAAATATAGTAGGTGTAGACCTACTCACGTGGCTATTTGATGATACCCTTCAGGTCAAGCTCTTGACATTTATGATAAAAAATTATTTACATACACTGTAATGAAGAAAAGTCAGTTCAACTTGTTCCAGATGGTATATATGCATGTTAATCATGTTTTCTGATTATCAATAAACTTATAAGTGTAATTTAACCTAAAAATCACTCAGGATATAAAAACAGTGGAGTCAGAATACAGAGAATAAACAAGACAAGGATAAAAGTCATGGAACAATCTTTTTTATGTCTCCAGATATATACATATACATATACATATACATACACACACACACACACACACACACACACACACACACATACACACAGGTTCTTCTTTCTCCAAACTCTCTTTCCCAAATCCTTCAATTATAGGAGTCTCAGGTGGAGGAATAGCAAAAACAAGTAAAATATACTCATAGCAACAACAATAACAATGATTCTAAAGTTACTCAAATAACCAATGTTACTTGAGCATCTCCTGAGTAACTAGATACTTTACAAAAGCTTTGACATGTTCCCATGAATCTGGAAAAATAAACCTATGGCATTTCATGATGCTCAATTTTCAAAGGAGCCTACTGAGCTGCAAATCACCATAGTTAAGAACCTTACTAAAATCAGAAAGCTGAAATGGCAAAAGCAAGGCACTTCCAAGAATAATGCATAATGAGAATCAAATATAGAACTAATTTTAAAACGAAAAGATAGAAAACAAGTATTAATTGCCCCATAAATTATGTCTAATTTCAGAAATGTATGTTGCTGATATGAGATGCTATGTGCATAGCAAAGCAATGTACTTACTCTCTGTCAATCACAAGGCAGGTGACAGCTTCTGCAGCAATTACATTAGCTGTTCTTACATCTTCCCTGTGTAAAAAACATAGAGGTGTTAGGACAAAACACTATTTAGTGTCAAAGACAAGTATCTATTGTGATAAATTCAGAAAATATATTAAATAATATCAATTCTGGTCATGTTGCAGATTTCATTGTCTTGAGCGACTGCAGTACCCTTGCTGATTGAGCTTGTTGCTCTAATTTTCAAATTTAAGGTTTTACTTACACAAGTGGAACAGAATTTTATATCTTTTTGCTCTTTAGGGAAGTTATGATTTAATTGGGTGATAGTACAGAGAATAATAGATGTGAATAGATGAAAGTTTTTAGAGGCTCGAAAGCTATATCTCAGGAAATTGAGCAATGATCCCACTTATATATGAATTTGTCATTATACCCTTGAGAATAATGGATCTCTTTTATTGTTTCCCTGTTTATAGACACTGCTTTCTTGTAGCAAACTGTCTAACAATTTATGGTCTGCTGTTACTTTTCTCTGAAAAACTTATGCTTCAAAAGTATTTGAAAAATATTAGTCACACTGATATATGTGAAGAGTATGTCTTTAGAAGCACATCACTTTCCACTGTAGTAGTCTACACCAATCTCTTAGCCCCTTCAAGATCTTGGCCAGCCAGTGTCTCTTATTTTCTCCTGTTATCAAAGATAGGTTTGGTAAATTAATATTGAAACATGTTAACTGCAGCACTAGTTACCATAGCCAAAGTATGGAATCAGCCCAGATGCCCTCAATGGACAAATGGATCAAGAAATTGTGATATATATGTGTATATATAGCTTTATATATTATAAAATGGATTTGTACTCATCCACATCTATTTGTACTCATCCATTAGAAAAGAAATACAAAGACCTGGAAATATTATGTAAGTGAGTTTCAGAGAGACAAAGGATACATGTACTCATTTATAAGTGGAAGCTATTTAGCTTGTAAACTGACAAGTACATACCTTGGGTGGTATGCAAGTGTATATAAATATATTAACTGAAATATGGTATACTCAGGGGTAATATCACATACTGTAATTCCTTAGAAAGGAAAAATCAAAGTTCAGCCAACTAAGCCACCAGGAAGTGGGTACTTGAAAGGATGGGATAGAGTCAAAGGGAAAGAGGTAGATGAACGGAGGGGAGACGAGGGGTAGAATGCAGTGAAGAATCCAATGTATATCCTAATATTCAAATGTTTTTTTTTTCTTTCTTGCGATTGTTTCTAACACATTTATAAGATGATTTCTTTGTTGCTTTGTATGTCCCTCCCCAATGGTATAACCCCCTGCTTTCACTGTATTTGGTGTTGGTATAATTTGTGGACGGGAATGACAAAAACAAACCATTTAAATAGGGATACAGGTGGACCCATTGCAACAATGAGATGTACAAGTCGTTATGTCAAAAACCAACTTTACAACTTTGGCCGGTCGGGCGTGGCAGGGGGAGAAGGGGGATAGGAAGGGATGGGAAGGGGAAACCAAGGAGGAGGCTACAATGCTTGATAAGAAATGTACTCATTACCTTGCCCATGTAATTGTAACCCCTCTGTACGGTATTTTCACTATAATTTTTTTTTAAAGAAGAGTGAAGGAGGCGAGGCACGGTAACGTTGATCAAGGTACATTAAACTGATTTGTTAATGGCAACTCCTTTCAACTAGTACTTAAAGATAATAATAAAAAGAAAAGAACTTAAATAAAATTGTAACAGTGCCATTGTCATAATATTGTTATACCTGAAAATGTACTTTTTAAAAATAATAATAGACTTCCCCAGGTTATACACTATAGAGATAAATGTATAGGACATAAGATAGCACGTACAGTAAACAAAAAGTGAAGTAAACCAGGCACAAAGAAACATAGGTCCCATGGTTTCCCTTATTTGCAATAACTAGTATATGTCTGAGTCAAGCAGAAAAGGTCAGTTAAGTTGTTAGGGAAATGAATCCTAAGATATGTATTCAAATGTGTTTTTTTTTCTTTCATGCGACTGTTTCTAACACATAAGATTATTTCTTTGTTGCTTGCATGTCCATGTCCCTCACCCACGGTATAACCCCTGCTTTCACTGTATTTGATGTGGGTATAATTTGTGGAGGGGAAGGAAAAAAACAAGTCGTTTAAATAGGGATACAGGTGGACCCATTGCAACAATGAGATGTACAAGTCGTTATGTGGAAAACGAACTTTACAAGTTTGGTGGGGGAAGTATTGGGAGGGGGGAACCAGGGGGAGTATGGGAAGGGATGGGAAGGGGAAACAAAGGAGGAGGCAACAATGCTTGATAAGAAATGTACTCATTATCTTGCCCATGTAATTGTAAGCCCTCTGTACAGTATTTTCACAAAAAAATTATAAAAACATCACAGTCTTGAAAATGAAGTTGCTCCCAGTGAATTTTTATATTTCCAAACCATACTGAATCCTGATATACACTTCTGAACTCTATGATTTCTCATTAGTCTTTTCTTGTTGTTTAGCACTGATCTTAGGTTACAGTTGCTTTATAAAAATAATGAATACTTGGTATTTGATAAAACAAGTTCTCTCACAATTTCTTCTTTTCAGAATTATTCTGATGACATTCATCATTTCCTGCATACTCTAAGATCATTTTTCTGCATCCAACACACATTGAAATTCTAATAGAGTTGTATTACATTCATACATTGATTTCAGAATAAGCAATTTTGATAATGTTAATTTTTATGTGGAAAAACATAGCACGACTCTTTCCACTTGTTCAGATCTAGTTTTATGTCTTTAACTAAGATTTTATATTTTTATTAATTTGGGCCATGCTATGTAATGAAAAAGTATTCTTAGGTATTTCAAATCAGGTTTCTTTCTTATGACTGATATCCCTTTCCATTGTTTCCATTTGTTTCTCCCCAGTTGTGCTATTAAAGAAAAAAAGCACACTCTATCATTATATACATGTATATTATATATACATATGTGTATATGAGTATATATATGTACATATATACATTCACACACACACATATATGTTTAATTTGCCCCCAGTACTAAATTCTCATCTGACTTCCCTAGTGACTTCTTTACATTCTCTACCTTTTGGGCAAACTGACTTTGTTTCAACAACAAACATGTCCTATTTATCTTATGAGTTCTGCATAAGATACTTCCATTAGCCCTACATATTTCTTGCTATTGTCTGCCTAGCTTAATCTTGTTCCTCCTGTACAACCCAGGCCAAATTCTGCTTACTCAAGGATTCCATCTTGAACTGAACAGGTCAGTTTCCCTTTTATAATCTTTTATTACCCTACACATCTTTGTGCAAACAAGCATCTCTCACCATTTTTAATCTATACACCTGTCTATGTGGTCTTTTGATTAGAGTGTCCCTTCCTTTAAGCCATATGAAGGTAGAGAGTATGACTAATTTCCCTCTCCATTTTATCCCAAAGCCTGATATATAACAGGTACTTAATTAGTGTTACAAGAAAATATGCTAACATTCTTTAGTCCTGGGGTACTATAGTAAAATTCTGGATCTAACACTACACTAAGTTAGTGCTAAACCCTGTTCCATTACTTACAAGCTATGTAAGCATCAGTAAAGTGGAAATGAAAACTCATACACACTCATGTGCAGAGTTAAGTAATATTATGAAAGGTAAACTTAGCCTTGTTCCATGTATATCTATTTATTGTTTCTAATTTTTCTCCTCTCCAACACCATCTCTCTTGTTTATCTTACTGCATCCATTATCCAGTGTCTTAAAAAAACCAACACATCTCTACAGTTATTAGAATATATTTGTGATAGGATAAGTTACATTGCTGCTAGCCTTAAAACAACCAAAAAACAAAAATATTATCATAGCTTTATAGAAAACATCATATGATATCTCTAAATTGATGTCCATGCTGAGTATTTAACATTTACCTGTTTATCGGTGTTGTACACACCTCTAATACCAGAATTTGGGAGGCTAAAGTTAGAGGATCATGAGTTCAAAGACAGTCTGGGATACTTATCTCTAATAAAACCTAATGAATGAGAAATCAATAGCTTATTTATAAGTATTTTCATATATATATATATATGGGCATACAAATTATTATAGATGCATTCATCACAAATGTCTAATAATTTAAGATTGTATTATGTTATGTAGCCTAAATTGAATATACTTTTAAAACTGAATATAGTTATCTCACAAAACAAAACAAAACCCACAATAACAATAAAAGAAAAACACATGGATATTTATAAATACAGAAGGGGAAAATATGAAATATTCCTGGAATACCATAATAATAAAATGGAAATATTTTATTGTGAAACAGAAAATTTGGACTTATGGGATAGAATCAGACTTAGCTATTAATAAAATAACATATATTAAAGAAAAACGAAAATAGCATTGGGAGAAAACTACATATTCTACAAGAAAGCAGCAAGTTTATATTTGCCATTCTTGAATACTAGTACTTGTAAATGAACTATATTAAACAGTTCATGCAAATTCTATGCATTGCATATAACAAAATTCAGTTCCTATAGCTCATATTTATACTTGAGGATAATCACACATAGCTGGTGAGTTGTGAGTTGTAGCCTTGGATTCTGAACACACATTCATCTGTCTCCAACGTCATGCTCTTTGCTGCTGTATACAATCTTTTTTTTTATTTTTGGGTCCAGTTGTGGGGCCTGAACTCTGGGCCTGGGCGCTGTCCCTCAGCTCTTCAGCTCAAGACTAGTGCTCTACCGCTTGAGCCACAGTGCCACTTCCGGCTTTTTGCTTTGTGCTTATGTGGTGCTGAGAAATCAAACCCATGGCCTCAGTCATGCAAGGCAAGCGCTCTACCACTGAGCCCCTTCCCAGTCCCGCTATATACAATCTTATATATTCTTTTTTTTTTGTATACCAATAAAAGTTTAATTCTCCCATCAGAGTTTAATTTCACAATTACAAATGAATTAAAATTCAAAAGAATATTTATATTCATAATATCCATTATGAAAATTATATTAAA